GGGAGCTGGCTGTGGCCGTCAGGCGATCGCACGGTTCGCCTGCTGCCGCCGCCGCCGGCTTGGCGGGAGCTGCTGCTGTGCCATGCTGGGGTGCAGGCTGGCCCTGAGCTGCCACTGGCACTTCAAAGGACGTTTGAGGACGGTGAAAGTCAATTGTGGGGGTCTGGAGAGGCTTGGCTGGGGCATGGCAGGAGGCGAGGTTGTGGGCAGTGGCAATGGTGGCGCAGCCGCCAGGCAGTTTTCTCTTCAAATCGTTATTTTCTGGCATGGGGAGGCTCCTGGGAGTAAACTGGGGTGAGAATCAAATTCCCCAGGCAATACCCCCAAGGCACCTGGAGGCCCCCAAACTTTTAAGGCCAGCCAGGGCCCAGCCAGGGCCCACTACCCAAATGGCCCAGCCACTACTAATAAAAGTGCAAGTAGGGTGCATTACTACTCACACTGTGACATCCATGTAGGGTGCCTTATGGGTGGCCAAAATGTCTACGGCACCGTGCTGTGGTGGATTGCAGTCACTGCAATCCACGACAGCAATGCAATGCCCCGCTGCGGCACAGCTGTCACAAGCGGTATCGAGAGGATGCAGGGCATAGCACCTTCACCAGCAAAAAATTCCAATAATGATTATATCAGCATCCCCATAAGAAGCCAGGAGGGCGGCGAAGAAGCCGCACCACAACAAAATCCTGGCTCCTCGCTGGCTCCTGCGCCGTCAGGCGCGAGAGCGGGGGGGGAGGGGGAAGGGACGGGGCCGCTGCTGCCGCTGGCCGCCGCCTTCTCATCAGCTGACGCCACCAGCTGGTGCCGATCGCTGCTGGTGACTGCTGGGGGCAACTTTGCTGTTTGTGGGTTACTGATGCCGAATGGAGCTGCCCGAGGCCCTGCTGCCAGCTGCAACCGGGTGCATCGCTGTGCCTTTGGGCTTTTGCGCTGCACCGTTTGAAGCCGTCAGCATCTGACGCTGCTGCCACTGACGCGCCACGGGCTGCTGCTGCTTATTCTGTGCTCGTCAGGAGAGGGCAGGCTGCCGCGGCCCGCGTACTGCTTGGCGTCGATGAACAGCGCGCCATAGCGCCAGCGGACTGACTGGCCGGCTGTCTTGGCCTGCAGGGCAACAGGCATCATCCGCTGCCTGCTGCTCAGCTGCTCCAGCGTGGGCATTGCGTCGATGGACAGGCTGGTGCCGCGCAGGGCCTGGGCCTTGCGGCGCAGCACCTCAGTCCAGTGCCCAGCGCTGCCCAGCACCACTTTGTAGGCGTGCTTGCGGCGCTGGTTGTTGTTGCCACCCTGCTCTTTGCTGCTCATCGGCTGCACCTGCTGCACCTGTTGTTATACGCTGCGCAATCTGGGCGCGGTGTTCGGCATGCTGGGCTCCCACAATGGGCTGCACAGGCGGCCCCAAGTCTGCATGCTAGGTTTGCAAATGCATGGCAGCAAGCCGTAGTCAACTGGTCGGTCACCAATGGCAGTCTAAATAACAACAAAGAAAGGCATTGCTTACTTGGGCTGCTAGATTAACCGGCCATCGCATGTGTGCCTCAGCCTTGCTGATGCCCGACTATGCTTCCGAGCGCACCTCGCTCTCGCCATGGAGGAAGTATGCAGGCCCAGCACGAAAGCGAGGGCCGCCACTCGTGCGCAGAAGCGGCTGGCTGCTCTGCGGCCTGCGGGTCTCGGGCACGCCCCCTGCTCCTGATCATCTGGCTGCTGCTGCTGCTGCTGCCTTGCCTTCTCTGCCCAAGGCTCCGTTCCACCATATCTCACAGCAGCTGCGACTGCAAGGTCTGGTCACATGCGTCTGGCTCCCTTACACAATCCCACCCATCTGGGCAACCCTTGGGCGGCAGGTGATACAGCGCCACCACCAATCGAATCCAGCCCTGCAAGGGCGGCGCAACAGTTGTTCACTGTGACGCATGCTAGCAAGTTTGCGCAGGCAGATGGCAGACAAGGGCGCACCATCACCTGCCAGCGCCAGCATATTCTCAGGCTGGCCCCGCAGATCTTGCACCTGCAAGGAACAGGAACAGAGCTAGCAAGATGTCTTGCCTTGCTCGGGGGGGGGAACTTTCCTTTGTCGACCCCACCGCCCACCCGCTACCCCACAGTTGGCGCACCAGAATGTAGCTGCTGCTGCATGACAGCCCTTAGCCCTACCTGACAGCCTTCCCTGGTGCTCCTCTTAACACCGCTTGTGCTAACCTCTGCCAGAAAGTATGACTGGGGATCTGCAGGCACAGATGGAGTAGAAAGGCAGGTACAGCAGAAGCACAGGAAGGCGGAGCATGGTGACATACCGCGGCATCGCACATGGCGCACTGCTTTCAACCTGCATTCAACCTGCAGCATCGGCATGCAGGAAGCATGCTACCGCCCCATGTAGCGCCCCACTGCACACTGTGGCGAACTGCAGGCGCACCTTCCTCTACCAGCGGTAGTGGGGGTGGGGGAGGTCATCATCCCGCCCCGGACCCTTGGCTGCCGCCGACGTGTGTGCAGGCTTTGTGCCCTGCTCTCCGTGCGTTGTGCTGTTATGTGCTGGACTGGCATCATTGTCCCATCACAAGCCCCCTCGTGATGCACACAGGTCCCCCTCGAAGGGCACCTTGAAATTCACACACTGGTTGAGAGTATCAGAAGAAGAAGAAAATGACACCAGGGGGAGACGGGAGCGGTCGGCAGGCTGGTCGCGGGGCCCCAGCGCATGCTGGGGCCACGCTGCCTCGTTCGCCGACGCCACACCGCCTGGCGCTGCAACAGCCGGTATCAGTGACCGACTCCGCGTATCACCTCCACCTGGTACCAGTCAATTTGGGTGGCGGGGAGGCACTCATCCCGGGATCCCAACAGAAACGACCCACCCTTGCACCAAAGCCATGGCCAGCAACGCCGCCACCGAGATCTGCAGCACGTTGACCACATCGTTGCTGAGCCAGGCCAAGCGGCCCTGCGCCGTGGCCCCTAGCCAGCTCTCAAACAGGTTGGCAACAAAGGCAGCAGCGGTGATCGCGAACGCACCGCGGGCATCCACCTGCATAAGCGGCAAAAGTTGAACAACTGCAGGTGTTGGCATGCGTAGCATGTGCGCCAACCGCCTTGCGGTGCACAATTTCATTGCGGCGGCCACCCCACCCAACCCCACACACCTGGCCCAGAGCGAAGGCCAAACCAGCCAACCCCGCCGCCGCTGCAACACCCGCCATGGTGCCCTCCAGGCTGACCGCGCCCTCGGTGCCACGCGGCACACGCTGCAGGCTGGTGATCAGATAGGTGGTGCGGCCATAGGCCTTGCCAATCTCCGACGAGGTGGTGTCAGCCAGTTTGGAAGCAAAGCTGGCCGCAAAGCCAACCTGCGGTGCCGGCAATAGTCACGGGCAGCAGCAATCTAGCAGTGAGGGCACGTTGCAGAGGGTGATGATGGCCAGCCCCACCCCAAGCATTTGCTCGCACCCACCCGCCAGGGGAAGGGGTCGCCAAGCCACAAGGCGGCCGCTGCACAAACGATGCCTGCAGCGCCCGACCCTAGCACGCTGCCCTGCAGGCGGCCAGCATGTGGGAAGAGCAGCAGCCAGCATGCGCGGAATTCATGCCGCTGACTGCAACCAGTGCAAGTGGCCCAGGATGTGATGTGGCAAGGCTGTGCAAACGGCTTTGCAGGCTTTGGAAGGCCGCAGTCCCAACCGTCCACCCACCAATGAGCGCCGCCCCGAGCGCGCCTCTGCAATCCCCTCCCGCTGCTTCTGCTCCAGCTTGACCTTGGTCACCTGCCAGTGGAGAATGAGGAAGGTCGAGGGTTGGATAGTGGTTATGTAAAGCCCTCTGAAGAGCAGCAGCATCACAGAGCAAAAGGCACGCATTGCCCCGCTCCAACGGCCACTCACCAGGGAGCCGACCAGGAAGTAGGTGCAGACAATGAGGTAGGCCCCTGGGCCGAAAGCGGAGTAAGTGAGGGTGCCCAGCACCCAGGAGGTGAACACGCCCTCCCAGGTCAGCCCCGCCAGCAGAATGCGGATGCCTGCTGTGTAAACAAGCGTGTTGGCGGCGGCGCCTGCCACCAGGCCGGGCGACGGGCTAGCTGCTGCCGCCAGCAGCTCCTGAGGAAGGATGAACGAAGGGAAGGATGAACGAAGGGTGGTAGAAATGCATGCCATCTATCAAGGGTTGTGCAGCGCTGGCTGGTTTCAGCAGTGTGCAGGCGAGGGCGGCGCGCCGCTCGTCGCCGCTCGCTCACACGGCACCTCACCTGGGCCAGCGACGGCAACGCGGGGACTTTCTGCTCATGCACCCTATTCCACCTTCTGCGCTGCTGATGCGAGGGGTGGCGCTGCCTGGGGCGGCCAGGCAGCGAGGCCCCTGCGAGCGAGGTGCGCTGAACCGCTTGCGGCAGGCAACGACCGAGAAACATTGAGTTCAGACGCCTAGGGCTAACCCGCTAAAATATCAAGGAGTCTCTCAGGCGCGGCACCATGTGTGACGCCCGGCGCGCGGTGCCCGCTTTGTCATTTATTACTTGTGATGCTCGGTGCCTGAGCAGGGTGGCTTGAGCGCATGGACGGGGATAGCACTGGGAAAAGAAGAAAAGGCAAGGGGGTCTGGGGGAGCAAGCGGGCGGGCGGGTATCGTGGCACCGCGCTCAGAGGCTCTTGAGCACGGTGCGGGCAGCCTCAATGGTGCGGTCAATGTCCTCCTCAGTGTGGGCCAGCGAGGTGAACCCCGCCTCGAACTGCGATGGCGCCAGGTACACGCCCTGCTCCAGCATGCCGCGATGGAACTTGCCAAACTTGGCGGTGTCTGCAAGGACACAGCAGCAAGTTACCTTTACATTTACATGAGGAGAAGGCGGGAAGGGCGTGGGCTGGGCGTGCACCGGCCCTCCGTTAAACATCAGCAAACCAGCACGCACAGCCTAGCCGCCATCACCCACCCGACGCCTTGGCATCCTCAAAGGACGACACGGGGCCCTCGCAGAAGAAGAAGCCAAACATGCCGCTGATGCTTCCACCGCACATTGCGTGCCCCGTCTCTTTGGCGGCATCCAGGATGCCGCTGATGAGCCTCTTGGTCACCTTGTCCAGGTGCTCATAGGCGCCAGGGCGGGCCAGGATCTCCAGCGTCTTGATGCCTGCCACCATGGCCAGAGGGTTGCCGCTTAGGGTGCCCGCCTGCAAAGGCAGGCCAGAAAGAAAGATGATGCATGAGTTGGTAGCAGAGTCAGAATACCATTAGCACCAGCACACTCCCTCGCCCACCCGCGCACCTGGTACATGGGGCCCGCGGGCGCCACCATCTGCATGAGCTCCTTCTTGCCGCCATAGGCACCCACAGGCAGGCCGCCGCCGATGACCTTGCCCATGGTAGTGACATCGGGGGTGATGCCAAAGTATTCCTGGGCGCAGCCCTTGGCAATGCGGAAACCAGTCATCACCTCGTCAAAGCACAGCACCGCACCCTCCTGCGCAGCAGGGACGGCACGAATGGCAGTGAGCGCCAGCAGACCGAGGTTAGATGTCAAATGACGAAGGCCCAGCATGCACAACTGTACCCTGACTGCCTGTAGTGCTGCCCAGGCGGTGCCACTGCGAGACCCCCCCCCCCACACACACACACCTTGGTGCAGACGTCACGCAAGCCCTGCAGGAACTCCTTGGTGGGTGGGATGAAGCCGGAGTTGCCCACAACCGGCTCCAGGATGAGGCCCGCAATCTCGCCTTTGTTGGCCTCAAACAGCGCCTTGACCGACTCGATGTCGTTGTACTGGGCAGTGAGCGTGGCAGCAGCAGTGGTGGCGGGCACGCCGGGAGAGTCAGACAGGCCCAGCGTCAGCACGCCGCTGCCTGCCTGCACCAGGAACTGGTCGGCATGGCCGTGGTAGCAGCCAGTGAACTTGATGATCTGCAGCATGCGGAAAGAACAGGGCGTCGGGGGAAAGCGCAGGCCTTACAGTATGAGCACCCAGGGGGGCAGCGAGGGCACTTGCTCCAACAGCTGGCTTGCCCAGCTACTGCCGCGCCAGCAAACCTCACCTCAGCACCCACCACACAAGCTCACCTTCTCACGGCCCGTGTAAGCGCGCATGAGGCGCACCACCGACAGGCAGGCCTCGGTGCCCGAGTTGACAAAGCGCACCATCTCCACAGATGGTACCCGCTCAATCACCATCTTGGCCAGCACATTCTGCCAGTGCAACAGCGACAGCGGCGGTTTCAGCTGGCGTGCCAACCAGGCGCACCCCTCGCCACCCCACGCTAGCCAGCTGCTGTGCGAGGTGCAGTGCTAAGGCGTGCTAAGGCAGTGCTAAGGCGCCTCCCACCTCCAGCTCGCAGGGCGCGCCAAAGGACGTGCCCTTCTCGATCTGCGCCTTGAGCGCCTCGTTCACCTCGTCGTTGGCATGGCCCACAATGGCCGGGCCCCAGGAGCCGACTGCATCAGGTGAGGGGGGCACATTTCAGGCATGCAACCACCGGCGGATGCGTCCAATAGGCACAGCGACTTAGTGTTGGAGCCTCGGCATACCGTAGTCAATGTACTTGTTGTTGTCAGCATCCCAGCAGTAGGCGCCCTGCAATGCGTAGGAAAGTCGTGGCATTTCACCTAATGTCACCCAGTCACATCCATGATTGAGCAGCTCTCGTCCACTCGCTTGTGGCCGCCGGCCCCGTCGCACCTTGACATGGTCAAACACGATGGGCTGGCCGCCCACGCTCTTGAAGGCACGGACAGGCGAGTTGACACCACCGGGAAGCAGCTCCTGCGCCTCCTTGAAGATCTGCAGGCGTGGCAAGCAAGCTGTGGGAACGGCGGCCGGGAGGGCGGGCGGCTGGCAACTGGGCGGGCAGGAAGAGTGTTGGCGTGCATTGTTTAGCCTGCGCCTTCAGGCTCCTGGCCCCCCATACAAGCCCTGCCCTGGCTCGGCAGCAGCCAGGCGCCCCCAATGGCGCTGGAGGCCCCACCTCCTCGGAGCGCTTGGTGTTGAGCTTGGTAGCGGTGGCGGGGGCCGCCGTGGAGCGCACAATGGTGGCCTTGCGGCACCGTGTCGCGGCCGCCTGCGTCTGGGGCCTGGCGGCCTGCATGGTTTGGATGGCGGCCTGCATGGCGTGTGTTCGTACACCTTCGGCTAAAAAGAGGTGTCAATCAGCCCAGGAAAAACGTGCAACATCAAAGACGGGTGTTGGCATGTTGAGCAAGTGGATGGGGTGGGATAAGAAGTCCACCCTGGCCCAACTGGACACTCTAATTATTAGGTCTGGACTATTGCGATGAAACCTGGGAGCCATACACACAGCAGCCGCCTACGTGCAGCCGTCCGTCTGCCAGCACCTTGGCCCAGTGCCGCATGTGCAGCCTGCCATAGCCCGCCTAGCCTTCCGACTCTCAAAAGGGTCGTTTCTTAGGAATAAATGAAGGGATTGAAAGAAGGGCAAACCAATGCAGCGCTGCTGCAGCCGGCTGTGCCTACGGGGGTCAAGTGTTCTTGGTGAGCGGGGCCAGCGCGGGCGTCAAGTAGCTGTTGCTCTTGTCTGCGGAAGGGCGTGCGCAGACAGAGGCAGACAGGCAGCAGCAGTGGGAGCTGGCGGAGAGGATGTCTAGCGGCATTCTCTTGTGCCCCGCCCAGCCTGGCAGGCAGGCGATGGCAGGCAGAACAAAGCACGGTGGCGCTTGCGCACCTGGCAAGTGTGAGATGAGCTCGTAAAACTCCAGCCCCTCCTCCGGCTGGTACTCGAAACACACCTGTGGAATGCTCGATATGGTTCGATGGTGCCAACACCTTGGGCCACGCCCATGCTGAAGCGCAAACCACACCGCCGCGCCCAGGCCCATGACACACGGCTGTCACCAGACCAGATCCCCTTGATGCCCCGCCCAGGGCATCCCTCCAACACACGAACCTCAAAGGTCTTATTGCGGGCCTCGGGGTTGTGCAGCGCCTTCAAACACACATCGGCCACGTCGGCGCAGCTGATGGCCTGGCTGATGCGGTTGCCCTGATCAAACACCGCGCCTTGTAGCCGCCCGCCTCCTCCACCAATGGGCCCGGCCGCACAATGGTGTAGCCCAGCCCACTGTTGCGCAGCACCGCCTCGCCCTTGCGCTTGAAGGACAGCACCTTTTCCCGCTGCGCATCGTCCAGATCTGCAAGGCGTGGTGCTGTTGGTGAGCTCAGGGGAGCAGGGGACATTGAGGCAAAGCGCTGCCACTTTTCGCCATGGCAGCTACCCACCTGGCCGCGGCGTGCCGGCGCATGACACCAGCACGAAATTGGTTTCACTGCCGCCTGGCAGCGCCTTCACCCAGTCCACCTCCAGCCTAAAGCGGTGGGTAGGTTGGTCAAACATAGACTGCCCCGGCTCTGTCACCTGCAAAAAATTCGGGGGAGGGTCCCGTGGGCACAGCAAACCAGGGGAGCGGAATGAGGGCAGTCCTGGTGCTCCAGGCAGAGACAGATACGGGCGGGAAGTGTGCCTGCACCATCAACAATCAGCAAAAAACAACAGCTGCACCAATGGCCTATTGTTGCCCTTGCCCCTTCTAGCACAGCTCACCTCCTCCAGCATCTTGATGCGTGGCTCAAAGCGGAACCCTATGTACTCCACGTCGCCTGCGACAGGGTGACAGAAGGTTCATTGGCTCCAATCAAGCCGCTTGTCCCACCAAATGTGCTCATCCTGGTTCCTCGGCCACCACCACCAGCCATGCCAAACCCGCTGAAATTAACACAGCCATTTACCTGGCTGCAGCGGCAGATCCTCCTGACTGGCAGGCCGGAAAGTGTTGAACGGCAGACGCACAGTGTTGTACCCTGGCCGTGTGTTGAACTTGCAAGTGTAGAGTGTGCTGGCAGTCCGCACCACACATGTGTAGGGGTGTTCGTCAGCCCGCACCCGCAGCACCAGGCCCTCGCAGCCGGCCAGCGTGTCTGCATCGGCAAGCTGTAGCTGGGCGCCCACCTCGGCGAGGCCGCTGCGTGAGTAGACAGCACCTGCAAGAGCAGGTGACGGGCCAGGGCAGAAGCAGCCAAACAGCACAAAACAATTCAGTTGTGATCAGCATACCAAAGCCCCACAACTTCCCCAGGGGAAAAGCATGCACTGATGCCTGCGTGGCACCCAGCATTTCGCACCAACACGCACCCTCGAACACCAGGTTGTCATCCTCATTGACATAGCACTCGGCCACGTCGCGTGGAGCGAAACGCTCTGCTGCTGAGCGGCGCCGGCCCTTGGCAGGCTTCTCCACTGAGCTGCCATCTGCACCATCAGCCATTGGTCAACAGGGAAACATAAGTTGCCAGGACCAGCGCCAGGGCAGCAGCGATGCCGGCATAATGCCAGTTGTAGTCGCCAAATGTGAGGCACCCTGGTTCTCCTGTTGCCTCCATTGCTGCCCACCTTCGACCTCCGCCTTGCCCAACGTCCGAATGTCCCAGGCCTGGTGATACTGCTCGCGCTTGAAGTCCACCAACTCCCGCTTGGACACATCAGCGAGGTGGCCCTCGCGTCGCGCGCGTGCATTCTGCAGGTATCGGCCAGGGCAGATGAGACTGTCCAACCAGACAAAGGAAAGCCGGCTATCACTGCTGAAAGTTGCTCTGGCATAGAAACAATAGATATGCACTCTGGCGAACCTGGGCATCCAGGAAAGCGGAGGCCAGGTTGGACACACCCTGCTCCTCAACACGCGACAGATCTGCGGTAATCGTGCTGCGAGCACCGCTGCAGCAGATGACCTGAAGGTGAATACGGGGCAGCAAAAGGGGAGCATTGACGGTCAGGCACGGTGAGGGCACGGGGACTGGTGGTGCCTGGTTGGTGTTCGGCTGCCGATCGCGTTCCCATTCATCCTACCCACCCTGCACCACGTGCGCTACTGTCCCTCACCTTGTCCACACCCTCCACTGCCTGGCGGCAGGACTTGTACTCCCCAATGTCACCGTACACAAGCTCCGCCGACTGTGGGATTGCCTCGGCATCGCCATCGCCCTCCCCAGCAGCGGCTGCAGCGCCAGTGTCGCGTTGCCGCACCAGCGCGCGAACCTTGTAGCCACGCAGCAGCAGCTTGCGCACCAGCACACGGCCCACCCTGCCGGTGGCGCCCGTGACGAGCACTGTGGTGCTGGCCGCATCAGGCGATTCGAACTCGGCAGCGTTCACAAATAGCCTGCAGGTGGCAAGGGGGCGGAGGGTCAGCAGGAAGGAGAGGCAGACACAAAGCTGGCAACCCAAGCCAGCAATGTGCTCTCTGGACTGCTGTTCTGACAACTCGCAAATGGGTTGTCAAATGCGCAAACGCCTGCGTGGTTGGCAGCTCTCACGTGAGCTGATCTGCGATTTGGCTGCTGCGGGCTGGGTTGCCGATGCGCTGCAGCTGAGTCCACACATCATCAAACACCTCCCGGGACTTGCGGCCCACTGCACCAGGAGAGAAAAGCATGCGAGGCAGGGTGCGCAGGGTGCGTCAGAGCGGGGGGCAGGGGGCCGGGCGGCAGGGCGGTGGCACCAGCCCACCACAAGGCATCGCGCATTGCGGCGCAGCAGCACTCAGAGCGCCGTATCATGCCCACACGCGGCTCTCAACATTGCCCAACGTGCTCACTGTTCACAGGATTGAGGTCGTCTATGGTAAATTGCGCCAGCTCGGGCTCCGCCTTCCTCCTCCTGCGCCTTTTGGAAGGGGCCCTGGGCACGGGCTCGTCCGCATCTTGTCCACCCGAGCTAGCGCACACAGGCCGCAACCGGCTGGCCAGCCAGTGGCGAGGCGCTGCAGGGGCCCCGATCCGCTGCCTGCACTGCTGCATTGCTGCTTCCAGGCGATGTGGCGAATGCAACAGGCCGCGCAGGGATTTTGCACACTTGTGCAACAAAGGCGCAGCCAACCCACAACTATCTATAGGGGCAGTGAGTGTTAGCAGCAATCGGTGATGCCACAAAAGAAAACCCTGAGGTGAAGCAGCAAACCGACCGCGTGCTGCGCTGTGCTATGCTGCGGCGCATGGGGGTTCCCCCTCAAGAGGGGGCATGGGGGTGAGGCGTGTGGTATGTTCACAGCGAGATTGCAGGCTGTTGGTAATATAGAGAGTAAATCTATGCTTGGTGCCTGCCTCGTGCCACGCGCTTGGACCCGTCACTCGCCTCTCCTGCAAATCCAGCAACGGCTCGCCACAGATGCAATCAGGCGCAGCTTGGCAAAGGCTGCAGCGCGCCTGCTCGTTCCGGACAGCACCTGTCCAACCCATCCCTTCCAGCGCTGTACCGACTGCAGGCCACTGGCCAATGACCCACCTTTTCCGCAAGCCTTCACCTTCTCAGCTCTTCTTCGCTTCTCATCTCTCCCCGTGAGTGTGCATCCAGCAAATAGATCCGCAGCTTGTCGAGAGCTCTGTAGCGGTGAGAGATGCTATTTTTTAGGTCCTTGTCCATCTCCGCATACGTCTGGCCAAAGCCCTCGACTTCAAAGATACAATCCCAGCCAAATTCCTTTTTGCCGCGAGCCGGCACTATCCGCCCCTCTGTGCGCCCAACAAACACAACGGGCTCACTGCCGGGGCCTGCACTTAAAACTAAGAACAATGGTGGGGTGGGGTGGGGTGGGTGGGGGGTGGGGGGAGACAAGCTCGGCACATGCAGCACAGGCAGTGCAGGCAGTGCACCAACCCACCTCTACAAAAGGCAAAACTACACATGGCAGAGGCGCTTTTGTCTGGAAACCCAGCAAGCAGACGATTCAGCCCGTCATGCCCTAATTTATCTAAAAATGGCCTGCAACAGGGTGCGCAGGAGTTGAGCACTCATCTTAGATAGGGAAGCACGTTCTTCCCCCCCTCCTTGATGTGCACAACAGTCCTACTTGATGTACGGGCCGGGGAGGCCGTTCAGCGCATTGAAGCATAGGCATGTATCCTCCACCATCACTGCTCAGGGGCGGGTGGTGCATGGGAGTGGTGGGGGTCAGGGCAGCAATCGCAGCAAATCAAAACCAAAAAGGCCGCATCTCACCCACCCACCTGCCGCCTGCAGCTTGTCGGCTGCCAGCCGACACTTTTCAGCCGCAATCTCCTCAGGCTCGCCCTGCAGCTCCGGCAATTCCATCGCCGCTGGCTGCACGCTGAACGGCAGCTTGCGACCCGCCTCTAAGATCGCCACAACCTCCTCGAGCTTCTTTTTATTGCCTGCGGATGCCAATCTGTCCACTGGTGGAAAAGAGGGGCATGGTTCCCAGGGCTGGTCACCTCAAGGTGACTCACCTGTTGCGAAGAAGATGGTGGCGGGAGGCGCACCGGCTGCCGCAGCTGCACTCGCGCTCATGGCCGTCGCTGCTGCCAGTTCAGCCGCTGGTATGGGGGTGCGTGCCCGCCGAGGAACACAGGCTTTGCCAGCGCGAGAGCCCACCTTGAAAGCTTGTGCTCGCGTGGGCACCAAACACATCAGAGCTCCGCAAAGAATGCACTCAGAAGGCAGCCACTTTTCGAAAGAAACAACTGCCAACCCCATGGGCCCCATTCTGAGGACATCCCATCATGTCCTCAGCGCAGCAGTAGGCCTTACCGTCCCGCCCGCGGCAGGCACACCACACCGGCTGCCCCTCTCCCTCTTCGACCTCCCAGCCTGCTCTACCTCGGTTCAAAGCGCCGTTGCCGATGGAGACAGTGTACAAGAGCGGCAAGCAACAGATGGGCAGAGGGCAGGGCAGACCGGAAAATGATGTTACACAGAGCCAAGGCGGTTTCGACGCAGCGCCACATCATGCCGGTCACCGCCGGCGCGTCTCGTTGCTGGAGTCCACACGGCTGTAAGGCGGCGAGCGGCCGCACGCAGCGAGCAGTGAGCTCCAAAACCCGCCCAGCTTGGCATGCTTCTTGAACAGCAGCACAATTACGCTCATGTTGTCGGCGCCACGACACAGGCCTTTGAGGTCAGGTGCCAAACAGGCGTCGCACATCTGCTCGCAGATCGATTTCAGGCTCTCCCCCGCCTTCAAGCGCTTGCGCACAAAGTCCACCGCCTGCAAGTGACACCCGAAAACTGTTGGTCACAACCACCTGGCCCATCTAGCTAGCCTTTCCCCCTTCGCTCTAGCCACGCACGGCGCACCTCCTGATTGGTAAGCACATCCCAGATGCCGTCGCAGGCCACAATGAGAAACTCGTCGCCCTCCTCCAGCGAGAACTGCTCAATGTCTGGGGTGGCCACAACCTGCAGACGGGAGCAGTGCAGTCGGTAGAGATGAGGGTGCACGACTTACCGCGAGGGTGACGGTAGATGCGCATGATTCCACAGTGCGCGCACAGGTCAAAAGTAGCCAGCCGGGAATGTGCATGACTTGTGCCCTCCACACAGCTGTTGCAACCTGCTTCACGAGCCAGGCACAGCTAGCAGCTCATGAGCCACGCTGCATGTGAAGACCCACCATCTGCTCGCGGTGGCTCAGCTCTGCATTTCGCTTGAAGTCCAGGTCGCCAATGGTGCGCGACACGTTAAGCGCGCCATTGATGCGGTTGTCCCGTACAAAACCGCCCGCCTGCAGCAGTGCGAGTTGAGGCAGGCGCTTGCGCGGGCATGGTTATAGCCAAGGCATTGATCCCACGCCTGACCCAAGGCGGATCAGCATCACAGCATCACGGCAAGCACCACAGCATACAGCTGGACCGCTAATCCGCAACGCACCTTGATAATGCGCTTGGCCTCCTCAAACAGGATGGGCTTATGATCTAACGTCAGCGCTCGCGCCTGCCCCCGCTTCGACAGCACACACCGCGAATCGCCTGCACAACAGGCACTCTGTGATGATGGCAGTGTTGCTAAATTGCTCAGCCACTTAGTGCACCATCTGTCAAGAAGCTCAGCCACTCTTCGGCAGCTCACCGCGCTGCTCTTTCCACCACTGCCCAGCAACAGCAGGTCAATAGCTCTCCCCCATGGACCTCTACACAGCCCCGTCACAGAGCCATTGCAGCTGCACACGCACCCGTGTTTGCCACAACCACGCGGTTGCCCCGCACCACCACAGACACAGCCGTGGCACCCATGCCTGCCGCATGGTGCTCCTCCTCCTCCTCCTCCCCTGTGCTGCCGCTGCCACCATTAGCCACCACTGCTTTCGCCATATCTGCAGATGCCGTCATCTCGCCGCTCTGTATCGTGGTCAGCAGGCGGCCGCCGCCCCCTCTATTGCCACTGCCGCTGCCGGTTGTCTCCCCAGACGAGCTGGGCGGTGGCGGGTCATCGGCCAATGGCGTCAGCACACTAGCTCGCATCAAGTGGCTTTCCATGAAGTCCTTGCTGCTGCCCAGCTTCTTCATGGCCTTGTTGGCTTCCACCTCCAGCTGCTCTCGATCGCTAGTGTGGATGCGGTTGAGCACACGTCCTGGCACGCTGGCCTCGGCCGGCGATGCTGCCGCTGCTGTCTCGTCTGGTTGCGAGGACCGCACCCGTTCCTCATGTGCTTGTGCTGCAGCAAGGACGCAGCCCGGGTCAAGGCAGAGGCGAGCTGCCAGCCCAGCGTCGGCTGCCTGCTGTCGTCCTGCCTGCTGTGGTCTGTAGGAAACCATAGACAGAGAGCATGTGATGGTTTGGTTGGCATCAGCTGGAGGCTCACCTGCACCTGCCAGCTTGGTTTCAACATCTGTAAACAGGGCCCCCCCTCCCTGCCTGCACGCAGCCAACCATACAGCTCGAGCAAGTAGCTCACCCCAGGCAAGAACATACGTTTGGCTCATTTCGTGTCGGAACAGAAGGGCCAGGCGTCGCAAGCAACTGCAAGCGCCCAGCTGCCACCCACTGCATTCGCTGCCACACTGCACTGGCCAGCGCTCACTTGGGCTGGGAGCCTGCCACAAGCCGCCGCAACTCTGCGCGGCCCTCTTCCGAATCAAGCAGCTCATCAAGGCGGAAGTAGGCTTCCGTAATGGCGGTGGCAAGGTCACCGCGCCGGTATGCCTCGCTGCGGACAAACTCCTCTGCTAGGTGCATGGCGCAAAACTGGGACACCGCTCGGCCGCCGTGCCCATCAAATACTGCAGGCGGGCATGAGCATGCGTTTTGCATTGAAGCGGGTTGGGGTTCACCAGCCTGCACAGCTGGCCTGCTGGCTGGAACTTGGTTTGATTCATTGGCGAGCGGCAAACATGCCGCTGAAGCAAGCCAGCTGCCAGCCTTGGATTCGAGTCAGCAATTAGGCAGGCACCGGGTCACCATAGACGTAGCAACATGCATGTAGGGCGCATGCACCTGAAAAGAGCGAGGTTTTGGTGGCTGGGTCGAGGTCTAGCTCGGCTATATGCGCATCCTCCTGCATGTGCAGCAGATGGTCAGGTGCTTCTTGCTGCGCGTCCAACAAACTGAAGGGACGGGAGCGGGCAGGGCAGCGAATGCACTTCGGCATGGCAGGAGCGCGGCAGCGGTCCCCACGCACCATCGACACCCGCCAGCCCTGCATCGCAGACAAGCCATAGGCCAGAGCATCTGCATAGCCCTCCTCCGACTCCTGCAGCGTGACGAGCACAGCACGCCCGGCTCAAGAGGCAGGCAGCATGCGGCGCACCCAGGGCGGCCCCACCCCGCGTGCGCGCAGCAGCGGCGGGGGTTCCCGGGCGACCTCGCCCTTCCCAGCGCTCGTGACGGCCATTCGTGAGCCCGAGAAGCGCGAATTGCGGGGTCACGGTGAGCGGGGCGGGCGACAACCCCACACCCCCACTCAGGTAAACCCCTTCGGCACCTTTTCGGTGGAGGGCTGGGACAGATACTGCCCCATCTGCTGCGCTGTGTGGCACCAACGTTTTCAGGTGCACAAAAGTGGGGTTGTGGAGGGGCGGCTGGTGGGGGCAGACGACGGTGGTTCTGATCCAGCAGCAGAGGGTGCAAAATACAGATATAGCTTGTTCGAGGCGGGAGCAGTACACATGCCCTCGTCGGCAGCTCGTGTGTACCTCTGAAAGCTCTGTACATCTCTGTCGTCAACTCTTCTTACAGCAAAGGCGCTGGCAGGCCGCAGTTGGCGTTCGGGGCCGGCGGCGGCGGGGCGGCGGCGGGGGCGGGGGCGGGGAACAGGCCGTCTTCTGGCTAGGCAGGCTCGCAACATCAGCGGCAGCCTTGGTCCCGAGCCGTGACAGGAACCAGGGCTAATGTCGAGCGCTGCCCTGGACAGGCGGCTTCGCTGTGTTGCTTTGGCCCCAAGAGCACTGCCGGAAGAGAATGCAGCCCTGCGAAGCATCCACAGTGGCACTGCTGCTGCTTCTCTGCCTCCCCCCGATTGGTCAATTTCCATTTCCCTGCCCGCATTACAGCCGCACAATGTTGTGCCTGCCATAGGGCCATAGGGCGTGCTGATGCCATGACGCTTGATGCTAATGAGGATAGATCCAGCCTGCCTGTTGTTTCTTTCAATGCCGTCCTCAGGAATGGGCTAGAGGCGGTCGGATTTCCTACCTTCCTAGCTAGGACACATTTTTTGTGCTGTGAAATCCGAGCTAGGAAAGCTGGGACAGTCCTAGCTAGGCATGAAATTTGGTTCCCAGCTGCCTAGCTTGGATGCTGGCCCCCCTCCTCCATGTCCGGCCTCATCCTAGCTGAGCCTTCCCACCGCAGCCTCCCAGGCTTCCTAGCTGTCCCAGCCCAGGGAGCGGCGCTCCGCAGGGAGCCCTGTCCTATCTTTCCCATCCTGCCTACCTTTCCTACCCGCTGCCGCCGACCCCCCGGTGGCGGGTAGGAAAGGTG